AGACATAGGATCAGCAGCCACACTCTTGACCTTGGGCAGCACTAACACATCAAGGCACTTGATGTAGGCCTCCGTGTTAAGTCTACGCCCTCACCCTGAAATTCGGGACTTCTTTACTTATCAGAACAGAGTAAGATTTCCGAGCTGCCCTACCTTCGTAATCACCATTAGACTCTTTCCGAATCCTCTGCACGATACTCAGATTGACACCCAAACACACTGAAATGTTTGCATTGGAGCCTGCGGCGCGAATGCCAAGCAGTACAGCATGTCGTTTTCAAATTTCTGGCGGAGCGAATTGTGCTCTTTTTCTCAAAATGGCGCCCAACTGAACTTACTATACCGTGCAGTCTACAAAATCAAAAAGAAACAACACACGTGGAAATTAAAAATATAAAATGGCGAAAATTTACTAATTGCATCTTATATATATATATATATATATATATATATATACTATGAAATGGACAAAGCCCGACAATTATTTTTAAGACATTTTTATAAACAAAACATGTCTTTATATATATATATATATATATATATATATATATATATATATACAAGGTGCATAGGTCCATAAACAACGCTAAACAATAGTGCAGCGTTTTCGGTAGCAAGTGAATTAAACTTCTTTATGGGCGTATTATATATATATATATATATATATATATATTGACAAGTTCAGTCTACTTCATTTTTTATTAAATTTTAAAAATTTTCGAATTAGTTGTTTTTTTTTGCTATTGGGAAATTTGCCAAAGTTTATAATTATTCTTATTTTATATTATTTTTACAAGTAAATCCGAATAGTGTTAGATTTGTTTTCAAGGATTGTGTTTTGTGTATATTTACGCGAATATTTTTGTTTAATTCTGGCGTTCTCACGTTTGCTGAAACTAATTTCAATTCAAATGTGACGTCATTTTCGCGCTCAAACTGGAACTTTTTATGTTCATTTCTCTTTTTTACACAGACTTATGTATATGGTCCCATCTGGAGAGAGATGTCTTATTTAATGTTGGCTGCTTCTCATTTATTAGAACAGTCTCTAGAATATTGACTTTTTCTTCGCACTATGTCCTATATAAAATATTGGTGTTACCCAGTAAAGTTTTTCTTATTTTAATAATATTTTTATATGTTGATCTATACGTAGGTTACAGAAATCTTGCTCAAATCTTGAAGTTACCTTATACACAGACTAACACATTGCTCGACTCACAAATAAATACTGATTTTAAGAATGTTTTGCAGTATAAAGCTTTATAAATACTTTTAGTATTCTCTGTCGTCATTTTCTGAAGAAACAGTTTTTTCTTCTTTTCTTACTGATTTTACATCTGACGAAGGCTGAAGAAGATGTCGAGTGAAACGTTGTTGCAACTTCAAGAATATGATGTGGCATTAATTTTCGGAATGAAATTTGGAATGTCACTGAATATAAGTAATGTCAGTATGAAAATAAAAGTGACATCAATATAAAAATGAAAATAACGTCAGTATAAATCTATTAGGTTGCAACAGAAAATGTTAGTAATGCAGAAAATAAGCAGTATTCTCTTCTCTGTTTGAAAACTAAAAAGAACACTGTTTTGTTATCATTATAAATATTGAACCTTTTCTTTCTTTTTTTTTTTTTTTTTTGCATAACAGCAAAGAGAGAGATCAAGATATTAAGAGATGGGACGATGCGCGGGAAAAAGTAGATTCATGCTTTTCCCAAAGAGAATTAGAGCCAAGTAAACATGAACAGCATCAGCTAAAATTCGAACCCGAATCGTTGATTCCCGCTTTCTGTGCTGATAGCCATTAAACTATTACCGAGGACCAAGATATCGATCCTCACGAATCTCCACTTAAAGTCTATGTGTTCTTTTTATGATCAATTTTTTTTCATGCGATGTAAATTACCTTCTGCCCTTTTCCTAAACCACTGAGATGCATCTAGAATTATTATTATTATTATTATCATTATTATTATTATTATTTTATCTGCAAATATTGACTTAATAACCACAGAATCATTTTTAGAATTACCAAATACTTTTTAAGACCAGAAAAAACATAAATCTGAATCATGCATTTTATTGACTCGCCTGTAAGCGATTATAATTATTATTATTATTATTATTATTATTAATAATAATAATAATAAATTTTCTGAAACTGCACAAGGCATGGTATGCGTGGTCCTGATCTAATTAGCAGACATATTCAGTGGTGCCTTGAATTACGAGTTTAACTCGTTCCGTGACGGAACTCTTAATTCAAATTGCTCGTATGTCAAATCAATTTTTCCTATTGAAATGAATTGAAATGTCATTAATCTGTTCCAGACCCCCCAAAAAACACCGCAATTTTTTAAATGTCTTTAAATAAGAAAAATGTACTTATAAATAACGAATATAGTATAAAAACACAATGCAATAGAATGTACTGTAATAAACTGGTTTTATTAAGTATATTTTCTTTGGAGCTCAGACAACTTGAAGATGCATACGGAGGTGAAGGATAAAGACTGAACAGAATAATTGAATTTTATTCGCTGATTTTCGCCGTCTTCCCCACGCTTTCCTCACTTTCATCTGCAGGGGTTTTCGATAAAAAAAACCCTGTCCAATGAGGTCTGTTTTATCCTCTCTTTGAGAATGTTTCTGAAATGAGTTAGGCAAGTGTGATTAAATAGCGCCATCGCACGCCCAGTTGGAACTTTTTCTGGGTGTTTCTTTTGAATAAAGTCTGAAAGTTTCTCCCACATTCCCATCATTTCATTTGTAGAGATAACCTCCTCCACCTCCTCTGCGTCACCTGTTTCTTGCAAAGCCTCCGTTTGCTGCTCCATCTTTAGCTCTTTTGTTGTCAGTTTCTCGGAGTGCTCCTCGATCAGCTCGTTCATGTCACCTTCATCCATATCTCTGTCCATGGACTTGCCAAGGGATAAAATCTCCTCCACAACTGCTTCTTCGGTTTCAAGTCGTTCAATGTCCGTTTCAGACACAACCTCAAGCCACAGCTTCTTCCACGCAGAGATCAAGATCCTCTTTGCAACACCCTGCCAGGCCATATCAGTAATTCTGAGGCATATCCCGATGTTATAGTGGTTCTTCCAAAACTCTCGAAGGGTGATATTTGTGCTCTCTGTCTCCAGAGGTACTTGGTGAAGAGCTTCTTGAAATTAGTTGGTCCATGGGCTAAAGGATAGGGTGGAAGTTAGAGAACCTTTATAAACTTGAACTCTCCGAGGATGTCATCTTCGAGGTTAGGTGGGTAAGCAGTTGCATTGTCCAGGATGAGAAGGGATTGCAGGAGTAGATTATTCTCCTGGAGATATTTCTTAACATCAGGACCAAAAACCAAATTCACCCACTTTACAAAGAACTGCCTGGTGACCCACACCTTCGGATTTTCCCTCCACATAACCTTCAGATTTTCTTTCAGAATCTTATGTGACTTAAATGTCCTGGGGTTTCCCGAATTATAAACAAGCAGCAGCTTAATCTTGCAGTCGCCGCTAGCATTGGCGCAAAGTGCGAGGTTTAGCCTACCCTTCATTGACTTGTGGTCAAGCATCCTCTTCTCCTCCGCCGTTATATAATCCTCCTTGGCATCTTCCACAAAAGTCCTGTCCCGTCACAGCTGAAGACTTACTGTGGGACGTATGATTCCACTGCTATAATTCCGGCAAAGTTTTGAGGTAATGCTCAGCTGCCTTCATATCCGCGATCACTGCCTCACGATGCCTGACAGCAGAATGAATGCCGGTCCTCTTTTTAAAATTCTCGAGCCGGTCCCGACTGGCTTTAAACGGTTCGCCCGATGCCTCGTCCGTCGAATTGCCTGATGTCTGCTGCATCAAATCAGCATAAATATCTCGTGCCTTCTTGCAAATTATAACCTCCGTCACGGTATATAGTGCGAACTGCTTTTCCGTTAACTACACCATCAGCAGCTGCTCTGTATTTTTATGAATAGATGTCCGTTGTTTAGAAATTATTTTAACGCCCATGGCTGGCGTTATAACCTTTATCGACTCCTTCTGCTTTAGTATGGCGCAGATTGAAGAAGTTCTATGCCCTTTTTCTTCACTATGTCGACTACGCGCACATCTTGGTCATGCTTTTTCAATAATTTCTTTCTTTACTTCAATTCACCACATCCGCTTCTTCTTCTTCTTCTTCTTCTTCTTCTTCTTCTTCTTCTTCTTCTTCTTCTTCTCAGCGCTGTCCTTCGTACTCACTTTCTTCGAACCCATGGTTGGAAAAACGAAGTTTTACAAAATAACTGCAAGCATAAGGAGCACTGGTGCTTCCACTGGGAGCTAACCACTTAAAGTGAACGAGTGAGACACGGGATGCTAGGCAGATGTTGTAATGTTCACCGTGGCTTTTGCTGCGCCAACTAGCGGTGAGATATCTGATGCTGGCACGTAACCCGAGTTTTAGCTCTCAACTCAAAGCAAAAAATCGTCAAAGAAACGATTCGTATATCGAAAAACTCGTTAGTTGGGACACTCGTAAGTCAAGGTATCACTTGATTCATTCTTGGTTTGGTGAATTAAGATTGGCTCCAATGAACTTCCCGTTAAATACCAGATTTGTTTATCAGTTGTCTTACTTTAACAATTTGGGCGTGTGGGTGTTGACGTACTGTGCATCTCTGTCCATGCGCAAGAGTAGTGTGGAAGCATCATAGCTGGGTGTCGAGCGGTTTGTTTTTATGCCTGTTTGAGTAATTTGTTTTTTTACAGCTTATCAACTTTTTGAAGGTTATTTAAAGCCAGAAAATAGTTTTTTGGCTGTAAGAATTTTTTGAGGTAATAATGATTTACTGAAAGAAAATCTACTAATTAACCCATAGCTCTGGGAGCAGAAGAGGTGGATTCATATCTTTTCCATGGGTATTTGCGCGTAAGTCAATACAACGAATCCGCCTGTAACTGGAACCCGGCACTTCGATTCCCATTGCCAGCCGTCATCGATTGCACTGCACACAGGTCCAAGCTTACATCACCTGGTAGTCCCAAGCGGTCATCCATCTAGGTACTGGCCAGGCTTGACATTGCTTAACTTCGGTGATCGTACGTGAGCAGGTGTTTCAACATAAAACACTGAATGATGAGGCAACCAAGGCAATGTCTATGTCTAGCAAAGGAAAACTTCATATCTGGATACTTGGGAATATTCTCAACCGGAGATCTTCTCAGCGGACTCGATTATCCGTCTTGTAGCCATTTCTAGCTGTAAGGTTATGCGCTGTTCTTATCAAAACCTTTCATCACATCACGCACATTTGGCTGTGGAGAATGTACCGGGTATACCTTTATGAGTTTTAGTGTCATAATGAGCTTCGTATATTTCTACCTCTACCGATAATTTGTTGGCATGCTGCTTTCTCTCACTATCTCTCGCTCTCTTTCTCACTACTACTGCTTCTACTACAACTAATACTACTACTACTACTATTAATAATAATAATAGTCATAAAAAGCAAAATGACAACTTTTCCAATATTTTGCAACACTTAGAGGCTTACGACCGTATCACGCTGAAACACCGGCTCCCTTACAATCACTGAAGTTAAGCAACGTAGAGACTGGTTAGTATCTAGATGAGTATCAGTTTGGGAATAACAAGTGCGTGAAGCTTGGATGTGCGGGTGGTGTAATGGATAATAGCACGGAATTCATAATCGGAGAGCCATTTTAATTTCCGTTGGATTCGTTAGATTCACTTAAATTTGTACATACCCTTGTGAAAAGTATGAAGCCATCTCTTCTCCCCCAGCTATAGGTTAATTAGTAACTCTTGTATCGCTAAGCCATTATTATCTCCAAACAAAACAAAAAAATTCTTAGAATCTAAAAATATTTTCTGGCTTTAAATTAATCAGTTAAAAAAGTAACATTTGCAGAAGAATGCGATTTAAGAAAAGAAAAAGAAAAAAAGGACAGTGTATAACAATATTTCGACAGTATGTCTGTCTTTTTAAAGTTATGCGTAAAAATTCATACAAGTATAAAAATATAAAACAACTTTGTACAAATGTCGCTTGTCTTGTGAAAAACGGTTATACTGGTAATCAACGCGACAAAGCGAGTTGGTCGTGTAAATGGACTCCAACTGAAATGCGAATTGCATGATGGGATACATACTCATCTTAAATTATTTTCAGCTGATTAGTAAAAGCAATTAATCAAACAGTTTAATATAAATCTTATGGAACACTCCTGTTATTTTGTTCATTCCCGCCTGGATGGGTGGGACGTTAGTAATTAGCAGATGTAATTATCTTCATGCATTTTAGGAATTGAAAGGTAGGTGAATACTGGATATTTTTTTCAGAATGTGTACCTTAAAGCGTTCCTCGAAGTTGATAATAATAATAATAATAATAATAATAATAATAATAATAATAATAATATTATTAATAATAATAAAACAATGGGGTTTGTATGAAGAATGTTTACACTATAGTAACTAAATTATTTTTAAAGCTTTGTTTTGATCATTAAGGCAAATACTTACGGTTTCGATCTTCAGTGATAAACAATATGTAGCATTCTCTACAGGACATTATATCGTAGCCGAAATAGTTACGCCCTTTGTACTTGTTCTGGAGGTCGGTGTTCTAGCGGAGGTAATAAGGCCAGGATCGTGAATTTTGGCAAGCAGGCGTCCCCCACCCTCACTTGGAGGTTCAGCATCATAGAACATTTCCTGTTTGGTTAGCTAACAAGGAATTTGTAATACTTATAATTAGAAAAAATATGAACAAATCAAGCTTTTTAGTAAGTGATATTTACTAAGATTATGTAAGTGAATTACGAAACCATCTTTCAACTGTGGGACTTCAAGCTTAAAAAAAAGAAAATTACTTTTTAGCTGTTTTCGAATATTGATACCGTATTTTCTTTTCTTACAGACTTTCACCCCAAAGCTTATTTCAAGCATGTAATTAAGGACTAAGTCTAATTCCACTATATTGTCATTATTATTATTATTATTATTATTATTATTATTATTATTATTATTAGTAGTAGTAGTAGTAGTTTAGTAGTAGTAGTAGTAGTAGTTTAGTAGTAATATAGTTCTATCGTAGTTTCTCTTTCAGTTGTTATAATTCAGATTCTGGCAATTGTGAGTCATTATACTGAACCCTGACACATATCCCTTAAAGCTGTTGCCAGAATTCAGGAAGTGGAAATAAATAAAGCAATGTGTGATTCTGTTACCGCAAACAAGTTTAATCAGTATGTCTCTTCAAATAATGGACTACCGGCAGTTGTCAATTCAGTCAGTTAAGTGTCATAAGTAATACACACGATCATGTCTCTTTTTATCCATGATTGTCTAGGCCAAAGGTCGGCAACCTACAGACCGCGGGCCGGATCCGGCGCGCGAAGCCATTTTGACCGGCCCGCGAGCCTGATTACCAATGATTCTATTATTTTTAACATGAGAGACGACCTTCAAATGAAATTTGTTACATGTCATTTTCCATAGAATGTCTACACATCTCAGTGCACTAAAAATATTAGACTATCTGCCAATTATCTTTCATGAGACTTATTTTACCAAGTTGCGTTGCCTACGTTTAATGTCAAATAATTGTTACATATTTGTTATGACCCATGGCTACATTAAAAGATAACAGAAGCGAAAGGAACGATAAAGTGAAAGAGGCCAGGGAGGGACTGACATGCGAAGTAGCAGAAATCTAAAGACAGTTAAACATATGCGCATTATACATACATGCCTCATGAATGTGTGGATGATACCGCATGTGTACGTACGTAAGTGTATATGTTTGCAACTATTTGTACTCGTATGTATGGGTATATCTGCTTCGTTTTTGTTTGATGTGTGTGTGTGTGTGTGGTTCGTTTGTGGAACACTTTTCAATAACAGTTTCAAACCCACACGTCATAATTTCATCCATTTCACTTCGGTTGTTTTTTTTCACTTTGAAGTATTTTGACGTTCCTTGAGGAAAAGTAATTTTTGTTAAGTGTTTTTTAATTTTAGATTTTCTTTTGTTTTTCTGATTTCTCAATGTTTATTTTCATTATGGTTTTAAATATTTAGCTTGACAGGGGTCTGCATATGTAATTTTCCTTAATTTTTCATTAATGGCCTTCGTCCGGCCCGTGACCCGTCATTATAACACGATCCGGCCCGCGGGGTCAAATGAGTTGCCGACCCCTGCTCTAGGCGGAAGATTTTCCCGCAGGATGTTGTCATTTCTTTCTGCGGTCTGTTCTATTCAGAAGAAATGGATTCATACCTTTGCCAAGGGTATTTGCGCGTAAGTGAATGTAATGAACTCGAATTCGAACTCAGCTCTCCGATTTCTAATTTCAAGCCGTTAACCATTGCACCACAACTCACATTATCAATTATTTTTTAAAACGAAAGCCAAAGATGAAACTGAACTTTCAGAATATCATCGAATGATATTCAATGTAGAGCATTACATAAACTTCAAAATTGTATATTTGACTGAAAAAGATAAAATCATTTTGATTGACTTTAACATTCTCCAGTTATTTTACTTTTAATATCATTGAATTCAGTTCAGTTTTTCAAAACAGCATTCATCCGTGTTTTAGTGTACTGAAGTACATTGACTTCTATTGAGAATTCAATTCCTCCGTTTAAACAATCATAGTTTGAACGACCGAATTGAACCAAGTTTTAACCTTTTATTCTCTTGAACATTAAATTGACATTAAATTATTTAAAAGCACTTAGCATAACAGCGGTACCCAGACCAAAATCAAAAGTCTGGTTATTGTTTCTCAGCTTATTATTGTGACATTCTCTGGATAAAGTTTTTGAACCAAGTCTATAATTGATATTACATTAGAAAGAACAGATAGACAGAAAGATAGATACAGAGGAGTTAAACATAGAAAGATATGAATAGATAGATGCAACGACTGACAGATACATAGATATAAAAGAACAGACTGAGACAGAGATAGATAGATAGATAGATAGATAGATAGATAGATAGATAGATAGATAGATAGATAGATAGGAATAGACTGTGCAAGATTTTACAAGCTAAAGCGTTGGAATTGTTTTTTTTTCTCAAGTGTACGTCTGGAGTGTTTCAAGATAAGACCAGAGACTATCTTTGCGTGGTGTGTGGCTGTAATGGCAACTGAGGCGCGTAAGGCTAATTAACACTGACATAGCGGAATATGGCTGGAAAAGTGCCCAAACGTGGGGGGGAGAAAAGAATAACTCCACTTGAATCTAGGCAGGAAAGTAACAATGCAATGAACACGCACACGCACACATATCAACCCACGCACCAACATTCTTTTTCAATGCATATAATTTAGATATCGATACGTATATATATATATATATATATATATATATATATATATATATATATATATATATATATATATATATATCGAAATATAGTGATATACATTTTTGTTAGAAGAGTGCTCAATAACGGGGATAAAACCTTTTTAGGTATAAATAGTGTATAAATACAAATAAACACTGCATGGTGAGAGGCAGTTATATGCGATCATCAGACCACAATTAACACTGTTTATATATATATATATATATATATATATATATATATATATATATATATATGTGTGTGTGTGTGTGTGTGTGTGTGTGTGTGTGTTTGTGCGTGAGTACATGTGTTATATATAATAAGTCCATGGTCTAATGATAAAAACAATCATTATTTTGCACAATAAATAGTTATTTTTAACCACAATATCCTTCGTTTCTCATTGCCTTTAACACAGATCTTATTTCAACGAACCAGATGTAGGGGACACGTCTTTATATATATATATATATATATATATATATATATATATATATATATATATATATATATATATATATATATATATATATATATATATATATATATATATATATATATATATATATATATACTGATACGCAAAAGTTTTGAGAAATTCAACCAGGCTTTCCCTCACTGTACCTTGAAGATCAACGTTAACATAATACACTTTACTTACACTCGAAACTCGACTAAAGGATTTGGCTTCATTAAAACGCGAGCAAATTGCGAATAAATTTGCAGATAGAT